TTAATATACTATGGTGTTTTTATGACCTTTTATGCCATATTAAACTATGACATTTTTTGACATTTTTATGCCTTTATATACTATGTCGTTGTATTCCTTGCCATAATATAATGTTTTTATGACCATTTATACCTTAATATACTATCATGTTTTTTTGACTTTTTTTGCCATACGATACTATGACATTTTTCAAATTTTCATTCCATAGTAAACTGCGACATTTTTCAAATTTTTATGCTGTTATATACCATGTCGTTGTATTCCTTGCCATATTATGATGTTTTTATGACCTTTTATGCCTTAATATACTAGGATGTTTTTTTGACGTTTTATGCCATACTATACTATGACATTTTTCAAATTTTTATGCCATACTATACTATGACTTTTATTGCATTTTTATGCCGTTATATACTATGTCGTAGTATTCCTTGCCATATTATGATGTTTTTATGACCTTTTATGCCTTAATATACAATGATGTTTTTTTGACGTTTTATGCCATATTAAACTATGACATTTTTTGACATTTTTATACCTTTATATACTATGTCGTTGTATTCCTTGCCATAATATAATGTTTTTATGACCATTTATACCTTAATATACTATCATGTTTTTTTGACTTTTTTTGCCATACGATACTATGACATTTTTCAAATTTTCATTCCATAGTAAACTGCGACATTTTTCAAATTTTTATGCTGTTATATACCATGTCGTTGTATTCCTTGCCATATTATAATGTTTTTATGACCTTTTATGCCTTAATATACTATCATGTTTTTTTGAGGTTTTATGCCATACTATACTATGACATTTTTCAAATTTTCATGCCATTCTATACTATGACTTTTATTGCATTTTTATGCCGTTATATACTATGTCGTAGTATTCCTTGCCATATTATGATGTTTTTATGACCTTTTATGCCTTAATATACTATGATGTTTTTTTGATGTTTTATGCCATACCATACTATGATATTTTTCAAATTTTTATACCATACTATACTATGATTTTCATTGCATTTTTATGCCGTTATATACTATGTCGTTGTATTCCTTGCCATATTATAATGTTTTTATGACGTTTTATGCCTTAATATACTATGATGTTTTTTTGACGTTTTATGCCAAACTATACTATGACCTTTTTTGAAATTTTTATGCCATACTTTACTATGACAATTTAATGGCATAGTATACTGTGACGTTTTTTGAACTTTTTTTGCCATCCTATAATGTGAAGTTTTTTGGGAAATTTATGCCATACTATAGTATGACAATTTCATGCCATACTATACTATGACATATTTTTTTACATTTTTATGCCTTACTATACTATGACATTTTCATGGCATACTATAGTATGACAATTTTATGGCATACTATAGTGTGACAATTTTATGGCATATTATACTATGACGTTTTTTGAGCTTTTTATGCCATACTATACTATGACAATTTTATGGCATACTATACTCTGATGGTTTTTGAGAATTTTATGACATACTATACTATGATGTTTTTTTGACATTTTTATGCCATACTATATTATGACGATTTTATGGCATAATATATTATGATGTTTTTTCTTGAGAATTTTATGCCATACTATATTATGATGTTTTTTTGCCATTTTTTGCCATAATATGCTATGACAATTTTATGGCATACTATACTATGACGTTTTTTGACATTTTTATGCCGTACTATACCATGACAATTTTATGGCATACTATAGTATGACAATTTTATGGCATACTATACTATGACGTTTTTTGAGAATTAATGCCATACTATACTATGACGTTTTTTTTTTACATTTTTATGCCTTACTACACTATGACAATTTTATGGCATACTATACTATAACAATTTTATGGCATACTATATTATGACAATTTTATGGCATACTATAGTATGACGTTTTTTGAGAATTTTATGCCATACTATACTATGATGTTTTTTTTGACATTTTTATGCTTTACCATACTATGACATTTTCATGGCATACTATACTATGACAATTTTATGGCATACTATACTATGACGTTTTTTGCCATTTTTTTGCCATACTATGCTATGGCCTTTTTTAAAATTTTTATGGCTTACTATACTATGACACTTTTATGCCATACTATAGTATGACTTTTTTTGACATTTTTATGCCTTACTATACTATGACAATTTTATGCCATACTATACTATGACTTTTTTTTTTACATTTTTATGCCTTACTATACTATGACAATTTTATGGCATACTATATTATGACAATTTTATGGCATACTATAGTATGATGTTTTTTTCACATTTTTATTCCTAACTATACTATGACAATTTTATGGCATATTATACTATGACGTTTTTTGAGCTTTTTATGCGATACTATACTATGACAATTTTATGGCATACTATACTATGACGGTTTTTGAGTATTTTATGACATAATATACAATGATGTTTTTTGCCATTTTTATGCCATACTATATTATGACAATTTTATGCCATACTATACTATGACATTTTTATCCCTCAATACACTGTGACGCTCTCATTTCCCACGATACTTTGATGTTCTCATTTGCAACTGTTACTGGCATTTTCAGGCCTTAAAATGTTTTTGAGAATTTTATGCCTTAATATACTTACTATGACGCTTTTTGACATTTATGTCATACTATACTATGACAATTTTATGGCATACTATACTATGACGTTTTTTGATATTTTAATGCCATACTATACTATGATGTTTCTTTTAGAATTTTATGCCATACTATACTGTGACATTTTTATGCCTCACTATACTATGATGGTTTTTATGCCTTGCTATATTATGATTTTGTGATGGGGCAGCACGGTGTTGCAGTGGTTAGAATTTTTCCATCACACTGAGAATGTTCTGCTCTCGAATTTGTGTATGGTATTTTCATTTTCTTACTTTTTCGGCATGGTTTTTCTGTAGGTACTCCGCCTTTTTCCGCAATCCAAAGACATACACACTAGGTTAACTGGTTAACTTTATGCCTCATAATAACATTAAAATTTTTATGCCCTACCATTTTATGGCTTATGACATATATATTTGACATATTTGTTCCTATATCAAGAGTGATGTTAACATATATATCATATATAAGAGTATATATTATTATGACAGATATATATCCTCTGGATATATGAAGACATCACTTTATTACATAAATGAAATACTCATAGTAAAATGCAACTTCATTAAAGCAACATGCTTCTTAAAATTCTATATGTTTGTTTATGATTTTTCTTTATAATTTCTATTAAATTTAACCACACATGTCTTTCATTTATATTTACATATATAATGAACCCATACTTACAGGTTTTGGGATGGATATGTATTGTCTATGATAATGTCTATAATACAACCCTATAATATAAACAGACTTACTAAAATATATGTTTGTATTAGTTAGACATATATGTCAATATATGATATTGTTCCAATTTCTAACAGGTTTCACATGTGATTTTTTATATAGGCTATACTCTATATACAGTACATACACTGTTGCCCATAAAGTTGGAATAATTTTGTTTTCAGAGACAATCCTCTGTTTATTCCCATTTAAATGCATCAGTAATCACTTTTGACCAGGTGCAATGATTACATTATGTGTCCCAATTACCCAGGTGAAATGAAATAAATCACATTGTCACAATCATTTCATGGAAAGAGGTAAAAAATATTTTATTCTAACTTTATGAGCAACAGTGTATATGATTTTACTTCATATGTAGGCCTACATACATTTCATATATGGAAATTCAACACATGTACCCATATTACATTTGCATATTGGTATTTCAGAATGTAAATTCAGACCGTACATGTTAATAAACCATTTGGTTGACAGCATTAAAAAGTCAGTCTCTTTGTTTTGGAGGGGTGGCAGGGTTATTGCATCCCTATCAATGTTGAGACCAAACCTACACCCTTGAGTACAGATTTAAGTGCTGACTTCTGGTTTGACTGAATACTGTCTTCTAGTGGCAAATATGAGAACAGCAAAGAGTCAGAGCCATTTGAACACAACATATCACTGCATGAAAGACAGGAAGAGACTGATGATGGTGCCATTTGTATAGTGCATGTTGCCTATATTGAGGATAATGTAATACAATTCAGAATATATCTCAGCCACCATTAGAGCAGCGATAACCTATATTTTTATAATATCAATAGATCACATGACTACATCCACTGGCAGCAGGAGCTGTTTAATATGGAAAAGCTTTGATTAACCAACTGCTGCTACATTGTGAACTCTGTAACTGCAGTGAGGCATTAAGCAGCTAAAGAGCCTAAAAGAGAGTGAGCAGTAGCAAACCAACCAACACAACCAAATGAATGATAATGTTTCTCTACATGTGCTGGATATTTGCTAAAAAGTACAAAGGGCTACCACCAGAACATATTGGAGACAATACAACAATTGGACAAAACAAAATAATTTATTATTTTTCAAACCCAGAGGCAATTTGTGGTTACAGTCATTACAGATAACTGATGTGCATTTTACACACACTGTACACTACCACTACCACTATCAATACATTACTCCTAAAACTACAGTACCTCTAAGATCTCATTACTACATCTACTACTCACTAGGACTACTACGGCTAAGACTAAAGCACAAAATAAAAACATTAATACATTAACAAACAATACATTTGCACTTGTAGCACCATTCATTGTATTATACTATAGACGAGAAGAATAATTTAAATTTGTCTGGGCTACTGCATTCTTCACAGGCTTGTGTTTCCATGTGCCTCTCTGTGGAAGAGGACCACTTCATACAGGACCACTAAAGCTGGTCACTTGTGCAAGGATTTGTGCCTAAAAAAAAATCTTCATCTAGCATCATAACATAGGCCAAACCCCTTTTTCTTTTTTTTGTGATTGCCTGCTCCTTGTATAGATTTAGGGGAGTTATTGCACTGTTCTATTACAAAAAAGGACAAAGGAAAAGAGTTCACATGTGGATGGAAGAAAAGTCTTTAACTTAGAAGGGCACGGGACCATAGTAGGCGGTATATGCAGCAACAATGCCTGCAGTGTCCGCCATCTCGTCACAGGCGACGTTCACTTCACACACCTCTCTCAGGCTGGATGGCAGAGGAGAGAAAAAGTTAGATGGCTTGTAGAAGCTCAGACAAGTTGCTTTACACTAGATTCAATATTTCAGTTCTGAGTTTTGTGTTTATTTTTTACAAGAATTGCAGCAAAAGTCGAGCTAACCATTTGCAAACAGTTTATTGCACTGCACAATCTTTCCTAGTGTTTGTCCAGTTAAAGTTAATAACTGTACCTCTCCAGCTGCAGAGGGGTGAGGTCTCCTGCTGGGGCAGCTCTTCTTCTCCTCAGGAAAACAGCAGCCAGGTCTCTCTTCATAACCACTGGAGCAGCTGAATGGACAAATGACAAATCATAAACTCAGACTTTCTTGGGTTTTGTTGTTTTACATTCATATGGAAACTTTAATTAATTTTAAAACCATTTGAAGATTTTCTCTTTAAAACATTTACATACCCTCAGTGCTGGCTGACTCTGATGAAGAAGAGGAGGATGAAGAAGAAGAAGAAGAGGAGGAAGAATCAGAGGCAGAGGAGTCGGATGCTGAAGAGTCGGAGGCAGAAGAATTGGACTCAGAGGAGGAGGACTCGGAGGAAGAGGATTCAGAGGACTCAGATGAGGAGGAGGAGGAGGATTCGGAGGAGGAGGACGAATCGGAGGCTGATGAGTCGGAGCTTGAGTTAGAATCAGATGCTGACGAGTCTGAGGAAGAGTTGGAGTCTGATGCGGAGGATGAGGCTGAATCGGACTCAGAAGAGGAGGAAGAGGATGAATCAGAGTCTGCAGCTGCGGGGTCTGTGGCTGCGGGGTCTGCAGCTGCAGGGTCTGCAGCTGCGGGGTCATCAGGTGCGGCCTCAGCAGCTGTGTCAACAGCAGGGTCCACAACAACCTCTGGTTCCACAGCTGATGATCACAGAAAATAACATTTATTAAAAAAAAACATACTCTTGGTAAGCCCAGCAATGTTGAGATGAGTTTGTCCTTACCTCCCATGGACCAGCACACTGACAGAAGGGCGCAGATGGAGAGGAGAGTCAGAGTCTTCATGATGCTTTGTAGTTAGTTTCTTGCTGTATACAAGTTGTTTTCTTGATTGCTTGCTCTTCTTTGCTTTCCTTCGATGGTTTGCTCTGTTTCTTCCCCAAATTCGAGGTCAATATATACTGTAGTCCACCTCCTGTGTCAGACCAGACCCACACAATGGGATAACCTTCTGATTGGCTGGGGAGTCAGATGTCAACGTCTCCGCTTCCACTTGTCATGAAAGCTCCTATAAACACCCACGCAGCCCCTGGCACTGAGTCCAAAAACTCATTCACCCGCACAGAAACTTGCACAGCCGCAAACATTCTTGGCATTCATCTTTATGTACAGTGCATGATACTGTATGTAAGCCTGTATGTATGTAAACATTCATTTGATATTAAAGCTTGTCAAAGACAAACAGGGTAACATGAGGAGAGTAAAATGCACTCTCATATACACAGGAAAGACTCATCAGGAATAAATTTACATTAAATATTGGAGAACTTATATGACCTTTAGCTAAATGTCAAATTAAATTATTGAACTGACACCTTAAAATAGTTTCTCTCTCTGGTTGTTTGGTCAACTGAACAATATTTCTGTCAATCAAACAGAGGTCAAACCAATTTTTTTCTTTTCTTGTATAACAATCCTGTACATGCGCCTTTCAAATTCCTTTGAATCCTCACCCCTCATCACTGGAGTATAAATAATACAACAAACCCCTGAAAGTCTAAACCAGTGGTGTTACTGATTTCTATAAAATACCCTCAAAATGTGATTGGTTTTTAATCAGGGAGACCCATTGCAGGGTTACCTCTTTAACATCAAGGTTGCCAGTTCTGCCATCGCTGTTATGTTGCTGTGCTCCTTGCCCCAGATGCGATCTCCCACCCCCACAAACCCCAAACTATAGCCTGAGCCGACCACAAGCTACTAATCGAGTGACACGGAACAGCAGTGAGCCTCATTATGCGACAGAGCTTAATTAGAGTGTTGCAGAGTCCCACCAGAACCACAGTCAGTCACTATTTACAGATCCATCTCGGCCCAGGTCCCGGCCAGATCTAGGCACGGCCACGGTTTACCAACGACAACCAGTGGCCCAACACACAGCCTTGCTTGATGTATTTCAGCATATATAAAGCTAAGTATAGGAAACCCCCATGGGTTGGATGCACAGCATTATGCATGCGGGTTTGGATGCAGCTGTCTTTTTGATAGATATGATTCAAATGTGGCTTCAGCTGCGGTTTTTTGATAAAAAATGGTATTTGTACTTGAGATCTCAACCATATTGCAACTTAAATACTGTTTAGATAACTAACCATTTATGCACACATATCACTTCATGTATATATATGTCTCAGAGGGCCCCCAAACAGCTCTATTTATCATGTAGTGAGAAATGCAGTGCCGCTGCAGAGTGACCTTGGTGTCTTTTGTGTTTCTTAAAGTCTAGTGTTATTCCTAGTGTCAGGGATTTGTCTTGGACTGAGTGCCGTGTAATTTCAATGTCTGGTCTAGTGTCCATTTTTGTGGAGGCATTGTAGTGCGTGGGGGACACAGTTGGAGAAAACAATTGCCACAAGGTCTATGGGTAGGCAGGAAACACAGAGTCTAGGGCATTTCTGCTTTGGATCATTTGGTTTTTTGTTGTTTCGTCTTGGCACTGCAATCACTTCATCTAGACCAAAGTAGTGCTCACATTTTTATGGATGTTTGGGTTTAAACATTCTTTTGTCTGGAAAACATTGAACTCAAATTTTTAACATGACTTGTTAATTTATAAATCAGTTGAGTGATTTTTTTTATTAACTGCGTTCACTTGTGTGTATTGGGGGATGGAAGATTTTTCTGTAATAATGTGAAAGCACATTTTGTCATTTTATGAATTCTGGTTCAGGAGCTTCTCCAATTTACGAATGCTGCAAGTCAACAGAGGAATTTCTATCTTTGCTTTTCATTTTTAATCACAGATTTTTTTTCTCTTCCTTCTCATCATTTTGGGAACATCTACAGGAATCCACACAGGGAACTCTCACAGACACAGACATGTTAAATGACCTTGAGTTGAGTTGTTGACACATCATGAGACAACTGTGGGCCTTAACAGAACTGATGGAAAAGGACTCAAACACATCTGGAAACCTTGAATAAAGCAAAACCTACCATCAAGCAGTGAACTCCAACATAAATAACAGATCTGGTAAGTTAAACATTAATAACAGTGGGTTTAATATTCAACGGGCAATATCAAGTGTAATACAAATACAACACAGAGCCTATATGGTGGATAACTTGAGCCATTTTTATTGTAATGTTGTAAGAAATTCACTGTGAATGTCCTTCTTTTGTCCCCGCCAGCTTTTCTTCTCTTGCATGATACACATGCATTATATAATTGCAATAAACAACCTTTAAATGACCAGTTGCAGACGTGCATTGAACATTTTTTTTTAAGCGTTACCTCACTGTGCGTGTTAGACACAGCATTTCCGGTCTTTCATGTTGTGCTTACATAAAAGTACAATTCAAACTTAGAAACATGATACTTCATATTTGGACATATGGAGCGGTGTTAAGGTGCTGAAGGTGGGACCTAAATGTGACTTTGCATGAGATGTGAAAATAATTTTCTGCTGTGCAAATACTGCATGTAATGTACTGTATGTCACGCAGACCGATACCAGGCAGAAGAAAATTTACTGTTTTAACAGATTCAGATCTCATGAAGGACTCACTCACTTACAGTATATTAGTGAATACTCTTATAGAGACCAGTTATAGATGAAGATTTATGACATTTCCCCTGTGGAACTGTAAGAGCCAAGTTGCTGTTCATTTTAGCCCAACAGGATGGTGACATCTCCAGTGGATTGACTGTGATCTGGAGAACAGACGATTTTATGTTTAGTTTTAGAAGTGCCTGAGCTTGTGACCTTCTTCATTAGTGTTACCACAGTCACAAGCAGAAACAACAAAGATATGGTGTCAATGTAGCTAAAAATATTACCTATCATGAGTATTTTTGTAGTTTCTATAACCAGAGGACTTTGTCAGATCAGTGTCGTATATTGTGATTTTTTTTTTGTGCAAACCCATAAAGAAGTCCTGTAAACCAGTGTGGTCACATTATTTCCAGGACAACCTGTGACAGTGTGTTGTCATCCTGCTGCAGTACCGTGTCTGTGTACCAGTGTCTGGAAGAAAAGAGCATCAGAAAATTAACTTGAACAGACTTTTATGCTTTATAACCAGTCCTTAACTTGTTTAAACTGGCACAGTAAGTCACAGTTTTTGAAGGGAATGTTTCAGATAAAAAAACACTGTTATGTTGATGCCTCTACCATTATAGACAATCAGCTTCTATACCTGCATCCAGAGATGAAATACTAGGGGTTTTTTTCTTATCTGGAAAGTTAAAAAGTCTTCCTATAAACAATAAAAATAAACTTTTTTATAAACTTTTAGTTGTTTTAAGTATTACATTTTTTATTTTTCTTAACTTTAACTTTAATTTTTAATTTCTTATTAAAAAAAGGACTGTTTAAACCCAAAGTCAGACATTAATCAATATTTGTAAATCTTTTATCACATATAGTTTCTTTTCTGCAGTGTTTTATCTGATGTTTACTCATTCAAACCTAGAAAAAATAGATTTGGATTATAGAGTGCTGACCGAATAAATTTTATAATTTAACTTAAGCTTTAAGACAGAGGCGGTCAGGCAATTTTTTATTTTACAGCAGGTGTTTTTAAGTATGTGAAATCCAAAGGAGCCTGTGTTTATTAAAAATGATCAAAACATACAAATATAATAACAAACCACACAAATACACATGAAGTCATTAAATTATGATTTCATGTGTATTTGTGTGGTTTATTATAATTAAATTACTGGTATCAGGGTGCATTAATATTTCAAATCAAACACAAAAGCTGGGGCTAACTATTGATAACGTAACTTATAATTTGCCCTTTGATAGTGTAAAACTAGAACACACTGTCATGTCTGTCACCCTGTGACCCCCATTAGACCTTTATGTAACACTGACTCATACGTCAACTGTCCCAGTTGTGGCTGTAAACAAATTCAGATGGCAGTCAACACATAGTATGTATTTCCATCTGGTCCACCTGCCAGGCTTTCCCAATTCCGCCGGATGCATCCGGTTGGCAGTACAACACCACTAATTATACCAATCCCAGTCTGGGCCTTGAAATTCCCATCTTGCTTGGGAGAATATTTTTGGGACAGCCCCAAACTTTTGCACTCTTGATGTCTACAGCCCATCTGTTGTTGTTTTATAGAGCTTTTATAGCTTTTATAACTGAATACTCTCTCTTTTATCCCATATTTATAGAGCCTGATATGTCCTCAAGTCAAGACATCTTTAATTTGAGTTTGAATTAGATGCTCTACTTTTTAACTGTGTGTTATTGCTGCCTCTGTGATCCCCCAACATTCTCCACTGGGGATTTTTATGTTAGTTTATGCTGCACAGATGATGAATTTCACTTTATTTACATGCTTTTCTATCTAAAATGAATCATTTGAGAAAGTCCCACTAACTACTGTGTCTGAACTGCCTCAATTTGGATCTTCCCAGTCTGCTCTCTGTCAGTCTCTCTGAGGTCCGTGTGTTGTGGTTCTGACAATAACATTAGTGGACAGACTAACAAACTCCGCCAGATCACTATGACTTGTGGCCAGTGACCTGTGGTCAGCGAACCAGACCACAGACGGGCTCACACTCGTGTAAACAGACAAAACATAACATACAAGGGTAAATAAGTGAGTGCACATGATATACACACGCACACATGCATATGCTCACTTTGCATGGTAAAGTGAACATATGCAGGACAGTGTAATACGGAGTCACTGTTTTCACAGCAGGAAGAATTTACATCAGACACCCCTTTCCCATTTAGTTATTTATTTCATGTATAATAATTAATTTACATTTGTTCAATGAGTCCTAGAGCTCTGTCTTGGCTTCTGCTCCGGCCTGCTT